AGGCACAATTTTTTTTTATAAGCATTTTAACATCGAATTTTGACAGAATTTTTCAAAATCTCGAAAATTATTAATCATCGTAATTAATAAATTATAAAATGTTCAGTTTTTATAGCTAAGGATTGAAAATTTAAAACAAGATTTCACGTAAGTAGTTAATTCTCTTACCGAAAAATCTAAAAAATATACAATCACAGTTTATTTTTATAGTCATTTTATGTTCAAATTTTGACGAAATTACATATTAAAAAACCTAGTTATTTTGTTGTGATTATATAATATTATTCGTGGGTACCTACTTGAAACTTCTAAAGTGTACTATTATATATATATGATAGTATCAGGGTTTGTTGTTGGTGTATAACGTGTTATTAGTACCTAATGGATATTGTGATAATGTGATATGATTAATTTGGAATTTATTATAGGTCAATTTTTTTTTAATACCATAGATATGTATATAATTTGTCTTAACCTAGACTGACATACCGTCTTCGCTCAGAATCGTTTTTCTTATACAATGATATTGTATCATTGAATTCAAATTTAATAGCATCAATTATACAGTGACCCACTTGTAACCTACTGTACAGCAGAGCAACATCCACTTACCCACCTTTTTTTATTTATTTTTTTTGTGTCTGTGTACACGATAAGTAGTCGAAATAATGCTTCGATTTTCGACTTCAGTATCTTGTTCGATTGGAAAGTGAATATCGTTGGTGCATTGGGGAGGTCAAAATTTAAATTTCCCAGTAGTTTTCAAGAGCGCCGGGAAAAACAAAAGAAAAATTAAGGAAAAACGGGAATTTTTACGCAAAATCGATTTTTCAGAAAATTGAATTTGGTTTTTGGTGTAACTTTAAAACAAATGACCGTAGGTACATGCAATTTTCACTGGTTGTTTATATTTGCATCTTCTATACACGATAACATTTTCAAAATATTTTGATTTATTTTGAACAGTTTAGGGACATTTTCATTTTTAGTTTTTTTTTAGTTTTTTTTCTAGAAATATCAATAAAATTTTATTTGTTGGTTGCGAAAGCTTGAAAATTTAATAGAAGGCTCCTAATATATTGTTTCAAGGGCAGATGAAAAATATTAAAAATCCTTAGTCACAATTTTTTTTTATAAGCATTTAAAGTTCAAAAATTGACAAAATATGGAAAAATCACGAAAATTAGCAAATTATTTTGAGTTAAGAATTCGTAAAAATTTTTCTTTTTAAATCTAAGATTTGAAAATCTAATACAAGATTACTCATAAGATTGTCTACCTTTATCAATAAAAAAATCTCTACCGGAAAGTCAAATTAAATTTTTATGAGCGTTTGAAATTCAAATTTTTACAACATTGGATATTCACTCGATTTCTCATGTGGCAATTTCCTTTTTTTGTTGTAATTAAAAAACGAATTACTGTAGATACATGAAAATTTCACTGAATGTTTATATTAGCATTTCCTATACACCATACAATTTTGAAAATATTTTGACTCTTTTTGAGCCGTTTACGGACATTTTCAGTTTTCAATTTTTTTAGTTTTTTTTTTCTATAAATATTAATTAAGTTTTATCTGTTGGGCCAAAAAGTGTAAAAATTTAATACAAGGCTCCTGATATATTGTTACAATATCAGTTGAAAAATATTAAAAATACATAGGCACAATTTTTTTTTATAAGCATTTTAACATCGAATTTTGACAGAATTTTTCAAAATCTCGAAAATTATTAATCATCGTAATTAATAAATTATAAAATGTTCAGTTTTTATAGCTAAGGATTGAAAATTTAAAACAAGATTTCACGTAAGTAGTTAATTCTCTTACCGAAAAATCTAAAAAATATACAATCACAGTTTATTTTTATAGTCATTTTATGTTCAAATTTTGACGAAATTACATATTAAAAAACCTAGTTATTTTGTTGTGATTATATAATATTATTCGTGGGTACCTACTTGAAACTTCTAAAGTGTACTATTATATATATATGATAGTATCAGGGTTTGTTGTTGGTGTATAACGTGTTATTAGTACCTAATGGATATTGTGATAATGTGATATGATTAATTTGGAATTTATTATAGGTCAATTTTTTTTTAATACCATAGATATGTATATAATTTGTCTTAACCTAGACTGACATACCGTCTTCGCTCAGAATCGTTTTTCTTATACAATGATATTGTATCATTGAATTCAAATTTAATAGCATCAATTATACAGTGACCCACTTGTAACCTACTGTACAGCAGAGCGACATCCGCTTACCCACCTTTTTTTTTTTGATAAAGGTAGATAATTTTATAAAGAATCTCGTATTACATTTAAAAAGAAAAAGTTTTATGAATTCTTAACTCAAAATAATTTGGTGATTTTCGTGATTTTTCCATATTTTATCAATTTTTAAACTTTAAATGCTTATAAAAAAAACTGTGACTAAGGATTTTTAATATTTTTCATCTGCCTTTAAAAAAATATACTATTAGCCTTCTATTAAATTTTCAAGCTTTTTTAACCAACAAATAAAATTTTATTGATATTTTAAGAAAAACAAAACTAAAAAAAAAAAAATGGAAAATGAAAATGTCCCTGAACAGTTCAAAATAAATCAAAATATTTTGAAAATGTTATCGTGTATAGAAAATGCAAATACAAACAATCAGTGAAAATGCCATGTATCCACGGTAATTTTTTTTAAAGTTACACCAAAAATCAAATTCAATTTTGAGTAAAAATTCCCGTTTTTCCTTAATTTTTCTTTTGTTTTTCTTGGCGCTTTTGAAAATGACTGGGAATTTTAAATTTTGACCTCCCCAATGCACCAACGATATTCACTTTCCAATCGAACAAGATATTGAAGTTGAAAATCGAAGCATTAATTCGACTACTTATCGTGTACACAGACACACAAAAAAAAAAACACCAATCATTGTAAAATCAATACATTCATCGTTCCACTCAGAATCTAAAAAATCATTGTTTTAATATCTCATTAAGTATATTGTTTTGTTTATACTTGGAGTGAGAGGAAGTTTTTAAAATTATTTTCATCATATGAATCAATTTACTGATGACCGTTAACTACTAACCTAAAAAAGTTATAACTCGTAAGCATAACAAATCTTAATATCATAAGTTATAGGTAATCACTTTTTAAATCTAAAACAAAGATATTACCTATGTTTGTTCAATGAATGTTGTTTAGTACATATAATTTGTTATTTTTGTTTGTTTATTAATTTATTTCGTATGACGTACTAACAAAGCACTTCATCTATAGATAACTGATTGAATCAATGTATTATTTTATTTTATACTTCAAGAAGATAATGGGCCCTACTGAACAATGTATACTATATGTCTATATATAATTACTAATAAGTATTAATTTATAATTATATCATATCATATTATATTATAGTTAATATCAAAGGTGGGCAAGTTCATGAAAATAATTAACTCAAGTTAAGTTAAGTAAAGAGGACACAAGATCGATTGGTTGAAAGTTAATAGTTAGTAAATTATAAATTTAACTCAATAAGTTAAAAGTTAATATGGAAAAAATATTAACTTAACTCAGTACATAAAAAATAAATATAATTTCTGTAATAATAATGTGGATTACATAAAGAATGACTGCGTCCTTTCTAATTTCCTAAATTATAATAAACAATTGTATTGAACTTGTATCATAATATACATTGTATGTACCTATTTTACTTTACATGATTATTAAATATTTAAGCTATACTATCACAATGAACACATCCCGATTAATAATTTAACAAATATAAGTTTCTTTTATATCAAATAGCTATTTAAGTTCATATAATATTAATACATTATGCCTATCTAATCTACTAAAATATTAAAATATATATTTGCAGAATTGGTTGGTACAAAAAAGTATACATTTTTCATAATTGCATTGAAATATTTCACGAAGAGTGAAATTCAGAACCAAACCAATCAGTAGGTAATGGCACACTTCAATTAAGTTAACAAAGTTAAAATGTAAACTATGAGTGTAGGTAAAACATTTGTGGAACGAAATAAAGATAATATGTATAAGTAGATTTAATTTCTTAATATCTTGTTGTAAGATTTCATAGTTTAATTCTTTCTCAGTACCAGCAACCACGAGCCGGTCACTTGGTCACTGTATTATATTATCGATATATTCTTAAATACGTTCTATAAGGGGCTCAGATAAGTAGGTACGCACAATATTTAGTTGCACAACGACTTAGCAATTTCTTAAAATATGAATTATTGGTTCATGCTTAGAACATTATACAAAAAATATTTTTGGCAAAAGTCTTAGCCAAAAAAAACCACAATCGGAGTAAGTTGTTAAATTCGTTTAGTACTCAAGTATTTTAATATATTTTTACGCAGTCTTTAAATATAAAAAAATGTATATATTATTTACAATTCTCGAAGAAAACAAATACAATTGACTAAAATGATATTCTTCGTTAAGAGTTTTGTTTAATCAAGTCAATGTTCTGAAAGTGTTTCATATATACACAAGTATTGATACATCTTTGAACAAAAAACTATGTACACCAGAAAGCAACAAAATCAACCATGAATATTATCTGATATTAGCTGTAATTTAATAAAACGTGTTGACAATAGCCGAGAGTCCTGGAAAGAGAGATAAAGACATCGTAAAAAAATTGGGAGGACGTTCTACTCTTGAAAATATAAAAATATTCTCTCTTTGACAACTTCGGACTAAAACTGCATTGTAGAGATTGAATTCAGTTTGCTGAACATCGACACGTGTATAATAGATGACGAAAAGATTTTAAAAACTTTGTACCGACATCGGACGTGGGTAATACACGTCGTTTGCAGGTCGGCTTTGTGCGTTTTTGTTTTAAACATTATTTATCCGACAACTGATTCGACAATATATATACACCTTACAATATAATACAGAAAAAACCATGGATTTAATTCAATCTGTTAGCGTCGACACTCTTACCTGTGGCCAGTTGAGCGTGGTGAAATTGGCATACAGCGTCCGCTTCGAACCATGTCACTCTGTCTCTGAAATGTCGATAGAAAACCGGAAACTCGTTTTGCGGTAACAACCATGAACTGCTGATGTTCACCTGGACAACAAAAATTGGTTTCGGTTAGTACAAACGTTTATATTAAAGCGAAACAATATAAAAATATAATAAAATAAAATAAAATTAGTAGAGCAGTGTTTACACACAACAATAATAATTATACATTATACAATTGGTATTTTTTTTTATTGAACTTAAGCCAGGCCATTAAGCTATTAGGGGTTATAAACTGGGGTAGGTTGTTTTTATGATTGTTACGGTTGTCACTTGTTACGGTAGGTGGCAAACAAGTGTATGTGTGGCAAGGTTTTTAACTACTATGAACCCGAGTGGTCACCCATCCAGGAGCTAGTAGCTGTGGCTGTTACTTACTCCCAGTCGCATTTCGCGACTGGTAGCAGCTAACTTTAGACGCCAAGTCCCTATTAGTATTTATTATAATATTATGATAGGAGATATGTATGAATAAATTAATAACACTTATGTGATTTACGACTAGGAAAACTATTTTTAGGCCAATTAATCGGATGGACGTTATTTTAATAGAGACGCTAACTTTCTCGTCCGATTAACCGATGCCAATATTGTATACAAACAAGTTAGTTGTGTAGGACGTTTCACTGCCGTTTTTTTAAGAAATTGTATTAAGAAGTAAATTTTAAGGATGATTTTAATTGAAAATTAAAAAAAATCAAAATATTTTACAAAATATTACTGTCTCCTCTTTGGCACTTTTGTTGTGTAGGTAATTACAATTATTTATGTAATACCAAAAATTCATACGAAGAAACATGTCGGAGAGGATAGGATATTACTGTTTCTAATACAATTTTATAGTTGAAACAATTATTTATAAAAAGTATATTCCAAAAAGAATATATAGGTACCAGATTTTGAATTATTAATAAACCTCAACAGGTACCTACGTATTTATTTTGATATTTTATGACAAAAAATAATCTAATTTTTATAAAAATGTAACTTACTAACCATTTTTAAAACCTACATCATGATCTCATAATAATATCGTACACTTCGAATTGAGTGACTTGTGTTTTCCTTCTAAAACTCTCATTCGATGGATGCGTTTTTACACAAAGTTCTTTTACGACGATTCATCAATAAGGAATAAACATAAAAGAGTTTCATGAGACTACATCTATACGGAAATAGTGTAGTATAATATAATACACTACGATTCCGAGGTATTTAAATAACTGTCAAGCTAACGACTGACTGTGGGTTTTCTTTTTATTACTAGCATAAGATACCTATGTAATTGGCAGCTTTTTACCATAAATTTAACATTCATTAAACGCTGTCCCGTAATTCGGGGTAAATGTTTTGATGAGAATAAAATGATTACAAGAGATTTAAGAGGAAAAATATCGTCGTTTTAGTGTTTTAGTCAAATGCGCGGGGATCGTATTTCACCCAAACGATAATAATATCATCACATAATCTTGAGATTTAGAAAAGAAAATTATTTTTTTGCTATATACATTTTACTTCCATACAATTATGATTATAAATAAAATTTTTAATTATACTCTATATCTTTTTTATTTTTCATAATTACATTATATATTACCAAGTATTACACAATTATATAATATTAAAAAATATGAGTATATACCTAATATTAAAAAATTTGATTAGGTATATACTTATTGTTGATGTGAAACGTCCAAGTAAATAAGACTCCAAAAACCACTAAAAAAATCCATCTGAAAATCAAAATAAAAAATGTGGGCAAGTAAATGTCGCTTTGCTGTCCAGTAGGTTACAAGTGGGTAACTGTATAATGGATGGTAAATTAGAATTCAAAGATATGATATTATTAAATACGAAAAACGATTCTGAGCGGAGACGTTTTGTCAGTGTGGATATTTTATATTATATTTATACTGTTATTAGGTACTTATTATTAATACGGTAACTGGTAAGTTGAATTAATATTATAAAATAATTAAAATCGTTATTCTTGGTTATTTAATATGTAATTTCATCCAAATTTTAATTATATTAATTATAATTATATAATTATATTAATATTTTAATATAAAATAAACTGTTTTTATATTTTTCAATTTTGATTACAGAATAACCTACTTACGTGGAACCTTGTTTTAAGTTTTCAATCTTTAGTTATAAAAGTTGAACATTTTATACATTTTTAACTACAAAATCATTTTAAAATTTAAAATTTGATAAATGTTGTACAAAATCGAACTTTAAATGTTTTTAAAAAAAAGTAGCTCAAATACAGTCAAAATATTAAAAAAAAATTATCAAGTATAGGAAACATAATATTATGATATAAATTTCAATTGTCTATTGCTATTCATTTTTGAATTATAACAAAATAAGTAAATATCACTACTTGAGAAATCGAGTGAATATCCAATGTAGTAATATATGAACTTCAAACGCTCATCAAAATTGAATTTGACTTTCTTGTAGACATTAATTTTTTGATAGAGATAGATAAATTTATTAGAAATCTTGTATTACATTTTCTAATATAGTAATATTAGATTTAAAAGGAATATTTTTTATGAATTTCTAACGCAAAATAATTTGCATATTTTAGTAATTTTTAGATATTTTGTCAAGACAATATATTAGGACCTATCAACTCATGTGTTAAATGTTCAAGCTTTTTTACCCAACAAATAAAATTATATTGATATTCATAGAAAATAAGACAAAAAAAATTGAAACCATAAATTGTCCGTAAACAATTCTAAACAAATCAAAATTGTATCTTGTATAGAAAATGCTAATATAAACAACCAATGAAAATTTCATGTATAAGGTCATTTGTTTTATATAGTTACACCAAAAACCAAAATCAATTTTTGCTTAAAAATTCATGTTTTCCTTAATTTGTACTTTTGTTTTTCTTTGCGCTTTTGAAAACTGTAATGAATTTTTTACTTTTGACCAACAAAGTACCCACTAGATTCACTTTCCTTTCGCAAAAGATACTGTTGAAGAAAATCTAAGGATTTTTTCTGTCCTAAACGATGATGACAGACACATAAAAAAAAAATTAAACAATTAAACCATTAAAAAAATAAAAAACAGACGTCATTGTAAAATCGATACGTTCATCGCTGTGGTCACACTCTAAAACGAATGTATTTTATACCTGCTTACTACAGGCATTTGATGACCTAGCTTCGCAATATTGACAAATAATAAAAAAAAAGCGAACTAAAAAAAAACCAATCTAATCCAAACCATAATGATTACTGTTATTAAAACGAGACGCACTTGTTGTCATTATATAAATATATTATCAAGATGCGACTCAACAGTAAGCATTGCGGCGCCAAGAGTCTGTCGTAAAAGCAGAAATGGCCCGAAGAGTAAACCACCAAAGGCTATATCTATGTGCAATAACATTATGTGGATAATAACGAGTTTTACTAGTGCGCATATGATAGTATTATTAATAATGTAATAATAATAATATAATATAATATACGAAATAGTCATTATGTGCAGTGTCAGGCCACTGCGAATCGTATATTATGGTGGCTGGGGCGTAACTTAATTTAAGGGGTTGTGTATAATATTAAAGGCCATTTTTTGGGCTTCACACTACCTGGATCAGCCGGAACCCGTAACAGCCTTAATAAAACCATTGAAAAATCCTACACCCTAAGTATCCCATATTATACAACCCGAATTAACTGAAACCTGAATAATAATTTAGGTATATCATGGTTAAATCAGACTGCGTCTTTATTTCTCACATTTTAAGTGTCAAGTCATCTTGTATGTATTTTTTGCCGTTGGTCGATTTTATACCTAATTAATTTTCTGTTGATAAATAATTAATAACAGGAATGATTTCATAATGAATTAGTGTTGATCATTATTTATTTATATACTATATATGTATTTTTATCGTCATCGTAGACGCATTTGAAAATGAAGCATTGCTCTTTGTTTTATTCCGTAGTTACTGCTGCAGGCGAGGTACAGTAATTTGTAAATTTGTTGATTTGCCTCAAGCTCTTCAAATGACTTGAAAACAAATTGTAATTGTATCCTTTGATTCTGAACGTTTGCAGCTGAAGCGAATATTGTCCAATATTACAATAAAATAAATCCCAACAATGCCAATAGCAATATAAGACTTCCAAAGCAGTAGTACATAAGATTATAGTGTTATTGAGGTGCCACACACTCATAAATTGTTTGTGAAAACCATTTTGCAAGAAAAAAAACTAGTTCATACTAGATAATGTACATTCATAGTGGAAAAACCAAATGTATTCACGACAAGAAAGAAAATCTTTTCCAGGTCATAGTGTTTTAATTTTGTTTGTTTGTCTGTGTTGTCTTCTGAAATATGAATTGCTAAAATACAATTAATGGATAAAATAAACCGTTGTCGTAAATTATTGAATTTAAAATGGCGTGGATCAATCTCAAAACGGTACAAAACGGTGACAAGTTTTTTCCAAATTAAAATCTCACTTCCCATAGCCCAACAATATTAAATATCACTTTTAATTAGATTTTGTACCTAGTTGATCCCCTCTGACTTCAAATTCTGCGTCGGACGTTGTCGTCGATTTATTGCGGAACGGAGCGTCGAAATTTAATGAGACGTTATTTGACAAATGTCGAATTTAATTCGTCTAGTCTGAGTCTTGCTACGCCGGAGAATCATTATTATTATTAAATGGCCACGCGTAATACACAATTAAAATAGGGTTTGCCAGAGTGCTAGGTTTTAATTACTCTCCGTTACCAGTTACCACGTTAATGATTTGAATTCCATCGGAATTATCGTACCTAATTTTCACTCAGCCGATCTCGTTATGCACACCCATAAACCATATGTGACCACATTATATATTATTATATTCCGAACCATGTCATTACGTCGTGTGGAATAATTGTTGGAATAATATTTTCACACTTATACGCAAAAAGTTATATTTTAATAATTTATATTTAAGTGAATTATTTTTTTCGCTTGACATCAAAATCTATAATATATTGAGAAGAATGATTTTATATTTTAGTAATTTTGTTTATTTATACATATATCTTGATATAATTATGTTGAAACTCAATTCCCTCAGTTAGGGAAAGAGTGTCATACAAATAGTTCTGAGTTAAATATAGGTATAAGATTTGTTTATGACCGATAACATGTATGTTGTGATTTCATTTATGGTGTACCACTACTAAAAATATTATATAAAAATGAATACTAACTATTACAACATATTATACAACTGTTGTATGTTGTTAACACGGCGTTCCGAGTAGGCAATATCGGTACATTTATGTCGATATTCGACCTTACCATAATAATATTATTATGTCAGATATTCATATTTTATTGCCGGCCACGT